CAGATACAAAGAAAATCACTGGTTGTAAATGTGACTCCTAACTGTGTGATTGTGCAGCACAAGTTTAGACAAAAGTGATGAATTTTTTAGATGGTTTGGATCAAGAGGAAATTATAGCTATGTATAAGTCTTTGAGGCATAAAAATAGAAAAAAATATTAATTCTAGATTCATTGTTTTTTGAACTTGTTATATATATATATATATATATATATATATATATATATATATATATATATATATATATATATATATATATATTATATATATATATATATATATATATATATATATATATATATATATATATATATATATATATATATATATATATATATATATATATATATATATATACTATATATATATATATATATATATATATATATATATATATATATATATATATATATATATATATATGAAAAACAAGTGTTAGGGATTGTGTTGTATAAAGATGCAGAATAATTGTAAAAATAAAGGTCGAATGAGAACAATTATGTTCCGTGTGTGCGCTATGCGCTTTGTGTGTGCTTTATACTTTGTGTGTGCGATATGGATATAGTAAATAAAAATATGAATGAAGATTCATTTTGATCCTTCCACTACTACAAAAAACCTATTTAACAACAGTTAGTAAATACATATAATTACGCATGATCATGTGTTGTTGTGTAGAGTGTTATTGTAAATTCGTTACTAACAATGACGATCCTGAGACCGTTGTAGCATGCTGATAAGATCGTGTGATATCACAATGGTTATATTTATTAACCGTTGTGATATATAAGATTCTGGGTTCGAAACCCAGTAACAAATAAATTATATTAGATCACGATTAATATAAAAAATTGTTATGGAATGTACCCATAGTTTATTATATATAAATGTATATTGCTTGTTTTGTTATACACCTCATTAAAGAAATACAACCATTAAAATTGATAAAGAATTATATATTTTGAAAATTAAAGTATTCTTGAAAACCAACTTAAAGACATCGTTTTATTCCGAATTGCATGGGTCTCATTCAATACATTTTATATTCTTTAACAAATATGGTTCAAGGGTCAGATTCATTCAATGCATCAATATCTTTTATTGTTGTTTACCTCATCATTGTCGCTTATCATCATGCTTGTTACGATGACTTATCATCATAACAATAATGATCTTAACGATCATAATGATAAGCGACGGCGATGAGGTAAAGTAGAATAATAGATATCAATGTATTGTAGGGATCTGACCATTGAACCATATATTATGTGTTAAAGAGCATAAAATATAATGAATGAGACACATGCAATTTGGAATACAATGATTGATATAAGTTGGTTTTCAAATACATCTTAATTTTTAGATTATAAGTTTCTATGTCAATTTAAATGATTGCATTTTCATTAAAAAAGTTAGTAAAACAAATAATATACATAGTATATAATAAACTATACTTCATCTTGACATGTAAACATGTATAATAATTTAAAGAACAAAACATTGTTAAGTCACAAGAAGACTTTTTCTTATGAGTTAGCAATGTTTTGTTCTTGTTTTGAGAATATTTGTCAACAAAAACATCATACAACAACACAACAAATACTTGTAACACAATAAAAAACATACATTATAGCAACAAAACACTAATAGCATACAATATCATAAAACATATTAAGTTGTTTATAGAATGCACCTCTTATTAAAAATAATCGTGGAACTATGAAGTTCATTTAGTTTGTGAAGCAATGAGAAAGAAATACAAGGTGTATGAAGTTTCCACAACGACTTCATACTTCTTGTATTTTCTGCATTGCTACACAAACCATATATATCTTATCAAATCAAACAATATTCTTGCTACCATGATCATCATCATCATCATCATCACCATATGAGGTTCATCTAGTTTGTGAAGCCATGAAAAAGAAATATAAGATGGATGAAGTGTACACAATAGCTTCATACTTGTTATATTTCTTCTCAAAGCTTCTCAAACTAGATGAAGTTTGTTGTTGTTGTTGTTGTTTCTTGAGTCCTACAAACACCATGAATATTATCAATATGTGAAATCACAAGCTTATTTGTCAACAATACAACATGAAACAACAACATATAAAAACATAGAACCATAAAAGAATCATAAACTATCTAACAAGAAGAAAATTACCGAAAAACTAAGTGAAACATACCAACAACATACACGAAAATGAGAGAATAAGGAAAAACAAAAATACCTTTATTTAAGAAGAACAAGATTGACGACTATACTGTAGATTAAGAATACTAATGATGAAGAAGAAGAGAAAAATGAATTATAGGGTTTTGTTGTGAAAGATATGACACTATTGTCAAAGAGCGAGTGTTAATTCGTTTATATATATATATATATATATATATATATATATATATATATATATATATATATATATATATATATATATATATATATATATATATATATATATATATATATATATATATATATATATATATATATATATATATGTGTGCATGTGTGTGTGTGTGTGTGTGTGTGTGTGTGTGTGTGTGTGTGTGTGTGTGTGCGCGCGCGCGTGCGTGCATGTGTGTGTGTGTGTGTGTGTGCGCGTGCGTGCGTGTGTGCCACAACGGTGAGACACACCAACCGTAGTCATAAACTTTTAAGTTTTTTATTTAAAAAAAAAAAAAAAAAGAAATGGCGTGCCTTAACATTAAATGAATAATATATATGAGGTCGTTGAGGTTCGAACCCATTAAAATTTGATAGTATCACCAGGATTGACTTCTCAACCGTTGTTATATACAAATAATTTTTAATCAAAAATAAAAGTAATATGGTAGCGCTTAGTTTAGAGATGTCACCACAGTGTAGGAAAGAACTATGGTGACCATGGCGTTGTTGTTTACGCATTTTGTAGTAGTGTTCACAACCATTACAAATTTCAAATTAATCCTCTATAAAAAAGTATGATTTAATCTATTGCAAAATTTAATTTGTTCATATTAGTTCATCTGTTAATATTTTTTTAAATCAATTTTTTTCTACTTTTAAATCGTGATTGGTTTGTTTGAATTTTATTTTTTATTTCAATTTTATTTTTAAATAAATTAGATTTAAAAATATATAAAAAAAATCAAAATTGTTTCTCAAAAATCCAAAACCTTTAAACCACGTTGTATGCCTTTACCACTATGCCAATGTATATTAATGATAGATAAATCTTATGATCTGTAGTAATATTAAATCCAAGACCTTTTAACTTACATTTTTATGTGCAAAATTCAATAATAGATTTATATACAATGATTTATCATGTTTAACAATTAACTTGTCATTTTAAAAACAAAAACATCGTTAATTTTAGTAAAACTATTCATTCACCCCCCTTTTAGATTATTTTCATACTTATAGTAAACTGACTACCATTTAATTTGACTGGACATGGATATAAATTATATACTTTTTATTTTAAATTTAAAATTGTTTAATATTACTATAAATCGTGGAAATTATTTATCATCAATCTATATAAGACCTAGTGGTAAATAAGGGCATATGATGCGATTCAAAGGATAAGGGTTAATTCCTTCTAGAAACAAACTTTGTTTTTTTTATAGAATGTAAGGGATTAAATCGGATTTTTTATGGAGATTAATTTGGATTCCGTAGTTTTTGAGAAATCAAAATGGATTTTCAATTTAAATGTATAATAACTTTGAAATAAGTGATATGCAATTAGAAACTTAACTTATTTATTAAATATTCTCCTTAATTCTATTTATAAGAGACAAATTATATTTTTAAATTTATAAAATAATTAATATATTTAATTTATTATTAGACTAGATATATTAATTATTCAACAAATTAAAAAAAATACCAAAAAATATTAGTGAAGTAAGCAATAAATATCATAACTTATATGACAACTTTGACAGTTTGCAAAAAGTAATAACAAAACTTGGTAAAAAATCCATTTTGTTTAAAAATAAATTAAATCTTTGTATATTTAAAAAATAATATTATCATTTTTAATTTTAAATTGTAATTTATTCTCTAGAAAATACTTAAGTTGAATATAAAAGGAATACAACCAATAAAAAATAAAAAATAAAAATATAATGATAACCTATTTTTCTTCATAAAAAAATGAAGTTTAAAATAATTAGGACACATCAAATATTTATAAAAAATATATAGGATAATGAAACACAAAAAAAGAGTATTGTATATATTATTTACGGGTTCATTTGTAATTTTGAGTAATAGGGATGACAAAAACATCAACACTCGTGGGTATCTGCGAATAAATCTATCATAGTACGAATTAGATAGTTTAATAGGTATTCACGAATAAAATAAACAGATATTTAATTATCTCTTTTTTATGACAACACATGTGAAATTGACGATATTCGTACTTGCATTTATCTGTATCCATTAATAATTAATAAAATTAATAAAATATTAATTTGTTTAATCTAAAATTATTATTGGTATGCTTTAAAAGAATTAATAAAAATATTACAAATGATTCATATAATTACTCCATAAATACTCATTGTCATCCTTAATTTTGCCGCATCACCATTCATAAAGTTAAGCTAAAATGATTCATATATTTTTTATACATTTTACAGGTGCAAAATATTACAAATATACCATTAATAAAAATTAAATTGTTTTATTTTTTTTTAATTTTCTAAAACTAAAAATTGAAATTTCTAAAATTTATTTTAGTTTTGTAAATTTCAAAATATATAATTAAATATAATTTTAACAATAATTTTTTAAAACTATGTAATCGAATATTATTTATTAATTTTACTTCTTAAACACTACAAAGTATTTTTCCAAAATTGAATAAGATAAACTCTCAACTTACATTGAACTTGATTTAACTAATGGTATATTTACACATCTTTAAATACCACCTCTATTCTTGCATTGTTTACTCAAATCTACGAACCCATTCAAATTGTTGTGTCTTTATCTTAAACATGGTTGTGTCTCACTCTTTGGTTCCTTTGTTCTTTTTCACGATGCTCCTTGTACAAGTAATATCTAGAGGCATTGACTTAACTTGGCAAGATGCTCGTGCAACCTTCTATGGTGATGCATCTGGTGCTGACACAATGCGTAAGTTATAAAATTATTCTTCCTTTCTTCTTTATTCATAATTAACCTTACATGCTTAATTATATATTTGTGATATGATATATGATTTTTATCCAGAGGGGGCTTGTGGCTATGGTGATCTCTTCAAACAAGGATATGGTCTTGCAACTACAGCACTAAGCACTGCTCTATTCAATGAAGGATTAACTTGCGGTGCATGTTTTCAAATAATGTGTGTTAATGACCCTCAATGGTGCATAAAGGGTGCAAAACCAATCATAGTGACAGCAACAAATTTGTGTCCTCCAAATTATACCAAAACTGTTGATATTTGGTGCAACCCTCCACAACAACACTTTGATTTAAGTTATAAAATGTTCACATCTATTGCCTATTATAAAGCTGGTGTTATTTCGGTTAAATATCGACGTGTTCCATGCGTCAAAACAGGAGGTGTTAGGTTTGAACTAAAAGGAAACCCTTATTTTTTGATGGTTTTGGTTTACAATGTTGCTAATGCTGGTGATGTTACTAATGTGAGTATTCAAGGATCTAAGACTGGTTGGATTACCATGTCACACAACTGGGGACAAAACTGGGATGTCAATATGAATTTGGTAGGGCAAAGCTTGTCATTTCTTGTCACTACAAGCAGTGGGAAAATTTTAGGCTTTCGACATGTCGCTCCTTCAAATTGGCAATTTGGACAAACTTACGAGGGCAAGCAAAATTTTTAAAGATATATACTTTTGCTCAAAAATATACATCTAGTCGCTCTTTTGTTGTGAAATATACCTCTAGTCGCAAGATTACTTGTCGCATATAATGTAATTTTGATTATATAATGTCTTGATGAATAAAAGTTTTTTTTTTGATAAATCAACAATTGGATTACTTATCAATTAACTATTCTCTACAACACAAAAGCCAACCGAGGCTTTGAAAATAACCTAGCAAAAGCTATTATAGATTGTGGAACCAAACACTATCTATTTGGTCTATTTTGCTTATCAAGCATCCTACATGATTTTTCACATTTCTCTTTATCATATCTATAGTTTTATCCGGAGTAGTCAGCTTATTGTTCCAAAGAACATCATTTTGGGGTTTCCAGATTTGACAAACTGCTGCCGCAACAGCTGCAGTGTAGACTTGAATCTTAAGCTTGCTTGTTTTTACTTTGCTTAGCCATCTGATAACTGAAGAAATATTAAGAGAGAGCAAGAGTGGACTATGAACTTCTTCTTTATATATTGTCCAACTAACTTTTAAAATGAGATACACTGTGATTTATATAGAGTCACATGATAGAATATTTAAAGTTACAACATTTACTATTTCTAGGTCCTAAAGGAATATATTTCCCACTACCCAAGGGAATCTGACTTTTGATTTATCCAAGATTGATTTGAACTTAACCAACAAAACTTCCCCATAAATTCAAATATTCCTTCGATCAATCATGCCTAACATTTTCTTGCCTCTGTCGAAAAGCTCCTTCGACAGTGGTTTTGTAAGGATGTCTATTGCTTGATCTTTGCTTGCAACATGCTTCAGTTCGATGCTTCAATCCTTCACATGTTCTCGAATAAAATAGAATCAAACATCAATGTGCTTACTTCGTTCATGATTGACTGGATTCTTCGCCAGTTCGATTGCAAATTTGTTGTCAACTTGAATTATTGGTGTGTCTTCCTGTTTCGATTCCATCTTGCTCAGCAATCTTCTCAGCCATATTGCATGGTGTGATACGGTGGTAGAACCGACTGTTAATATTGGTTTGCGTTTTGTATTCGCAAATGTCGCGGTAAGCAAGAGTCGACACCGACTTTTATTTCATCCAATCAAGGAAAAGGAAAAAGAACAGAAAAAATATTTTTTCGAGATATTCTGAGTACGAGGGGTAGATTATAGAAAGGGAAGGTGTTAGCACCCTTTCTATCCATGGTTTCCCATGGGCTCTTAGATACTTGCTCATCTTTTTTAAAATTGCTTGTGTGTGTGCTTGTTTTGAAAAGTTTTACTTCGTGATAACCCTTGTATCAGTCTTCAAGGGTGTGACGAAGTTGTTTTTGAAAAATGTTTTGAAAGGTGTTTGTGTGAAAAGTTTTGTTGAGCAAGTACTTAAAAGTTAATCTACCTACTCGAAAAAGTCTGTTCATTTTCCTTTTAGACAATGTTATGCCATTGAGAAATAGGTAGCATCGTCGTTGGAGTTTTAAGGGACGTTCGAAGGGACAGATACGGTCACAAAAGCAATGTTAGGAGGTGTTAGTAATCATCATAGAGCCTTAAAGATCTATTTCTGAGGCAACATCTGAATGGGTCATTCCGAGGCAACATCCTATAAGGTTTGTTAGTTGCCTTCGGTAAGTGGTCATTTGCTAGAGGACGACCACTAACAAACCCTATATTTCATGACCGCTTACCGAAGGCAACCGAAGTGAGGCAAATCCTAGGAGTGAATATGTGCATGTGAATTTTTCAGTTAATTAGTCTTTGCACATTAGTTGATCTACCATTTTAATTTTCAAGCATCTTTCCATACAATCCTATTAACCATGCATCTAACAGTTAAATATTTACAGGAATTTAAAGTGCGAGAAAATAAACCTAGCTATTATAAGGCTTCAGAGAGGGGGATTAATTACATAATAAAAAACCGGGGAAAAGCGATAAATGAAAATCATAATTTAAAGCTATTCTAAACCAGGGCAGTTACAAAATTATAAAGAGAAAAGTAATTAAAACACACGGCAAATTAAATGCGAGGACGATAATTAATAACTCAAAACCCTAATTGAGAGAAAAAATATTTTTTGTGCCTTTTTATTTGAGAAAAGATTAATTAGATAAAAAGTTAAAACCTAATTTCTAATTGTTTTTAATTATGAAAAAAGAAATTAAATCAACCTAATTTTCTAATTAAATTAATATAAATATTTTATGAAAAAAATGATCTTTTTGTGATTTTGTGATTTATTGATTTTATGATTAATAAAAAAGGTAATTAATTTTTGGTGAAAAGTAATTAAACAAATTAATTAAAATAAAATAAATAAAAAAGAAAGAATTGAAAATGGGCCTGTGTTGAATTGAAAGGAGGGGGTGCAAGCATAAAAAGTTGGGCCCATTTGGCAAAAAATGTAATTTTGAGCCCATTTGACTTTTGGCAATTTTGCAAAAAATGTCAACTTTGACAAGACATATCTCTTCCAATTTTAACCCTAGAGAGGTGTTCTTTGACTTTTTAGAAATCTTAGGATGTCCAATAAGCAACCCTTTTGGTCTCATTTCAATTAGATCTTCCATGTTCATGTAAGAAGCTTTTATCCAAAATGTGTTTTTTGTTGACTTTTCAAAAGGACCTATAATATCTGAATTTATATCTTTTTATGAGTGCATATTTTGAACTTGTGGGCTAAAGTTGAGTTGTAGGAAATTGCATCCTCTTCAAAATGATCCTTGGATGGAAAATTTCTGATAAAGTATGTGGAAGTTATGCTTGGTCAAAGTTTGGTTGACTTTTCCTAAGAAACCCTAATTTAACAACTTTTGGGTTTTGATGAATTTAGGGAATTCCTTGAAGAATCATGATCAAACCTTGATCAAATTATGGATATCACTTCAAAATGTTGATGTTGACCAAAAATCTTGAAGTTTGACTGTATGTGGGCCACAATTGACTTTTGACCTAATACCGTCGATTCTTAAACATCTGAGCAGTTGACTGAGCAAACTTCTTGTGCAGTGCTTGAAATTTGACATGGATGGTCTTGAGAACATATTAGGACCACGAAGAGCATATGAGGTCTTTGGAGTTCACCTATCTTGATTAAAATGGAAACCCTAATTTGAGACACACTACCTTAGGAGAGAGTTTGTCTGGTCAACTCTTGGGAAAACTTGGGCAAATTGAGGATATCTAGGAGTATGTATTGAGTGAAATGAGAGGGAAAATTTTGGGGTACAATAACTGTCCCTGTTCAATCTTCTTAAACCTGAGGATGTAGATTGGCTCGTTTGCCTTTCGTGATCTGAAGGTGGAAGATGATTGAACACTAGAGTGCCCAGAAATTTTCACTCGCATGAAGTGATACTTGATTTGTGATATCGGGAATGGGCTTATAGATGCCATTTGGAAGTTGATAGAGAATTGTTGGAGATGGGCTTAAAGATGTCATCTAAGATATGATAGAGTACCGTCGGAGATGGGCTTAAAGATGCCATTTAGAGGATGTTTATTTCCTAGGACATTCCTTCGATGAGTGTTCTTGTTCCTGTTGTTGATCAGGAATCTTTTGAGGAATGTTGGTAACTGTCTTGGGAGAAATATAATTTTAGGAGCTTCAGTTGTCTGTTACTCTACTGGGGAAATAACTCATGCTTGAGGAAGCGGAAGTGAACTGCATATCTGGTCAGGGTACAAGCTGCACCATGAATTACTGGGGAAATTCGAAACCAATCGTGTTTGATCAGGTCCAGGTCTTACAGTGTTGTGGACTGCTGTCTGGAGGTAAGAGATAAGAAACCTGGATGGTAAGGTTATGAGAAGGAACCTGGATAGTAGGGTTACATCTTAATGAAAGCCTGGATAACAGGGTTGTGAGAAGGAACCTGGGTCTAAGGTTACTTCGATATGAAAGCCTGGATAGTAGGGCTATGAGAAGGAACCTGGGTCGTAGGATTTCTTCGAAATGAAAGCCTGGATAGTAGGGATGTGAGAAGGAACCTAGATAGTAGGGTTACTTCGAAATGAAAGCCTGGGTAGTAGGGCTATGAGAAGAAACCTGGGTTGTAGGGTTTCTTCGAAATGAAAACCTGGATAGTAGGGCTGTGAGAAGGAACCTGGATAGTAGGGTTACTTCGAAATGAAAGCCTGGATAGTAGGGTTGTGAGAAGAAACCTGGGTCATAGGGTTTCTTCGATATGAAAGCCTGGATAGTAGGGCTGTGATAAGAAACCTGGGTCATAGGATTTCTTCGATATGAAAGCCTGGATAGTAGGGCTGTGAGAAGGAACCTGGATAGTAGGGTTACCTTGATATGAAAGCCTGGATAGTAGGGCTGTGAGAAGGAACCTGGATAGTAGGGTTACCTCGATATGAAAGCCTGGATAGTAGGGTTGTGAGAAGGAACCTGGATAGTAGGGTTACTTCGAAATGAAAGCCTGGATAGTATGGTTGTGAGAAGGAACCTGGATAGTAGGGTTACTTCGAAATGAAAGCCTGGATAGTAGGGCTGTGAGAAGGAACCTGGATAGTAGGGTTACTTCGAAATGAAAGCCTGGATAGTAGGGCTGTGAGAAGGAACCTGGGTCGTAGGGTTACTTCGATATGAAAGCTTGGATAGTAGGGCTGTGAGAAGGAACCTGGATAGTAGGGTTACTTCGAAATGAAATCCTGGAGAATAAGGTTGTGAGAAGGAACCTGGGTCGTAGGGTTTCTTCGAAATGAAAGCCTGGATAGTAGGGTTGTGAGAAGGAACCTGGATAGTAGGGTTGTGAGAAGGAACATGGGTCGTAGGGTTTCTTCGATATGAGAGCCTAGATAGTAGGGTTGTGAGAAGGAACCTGGATAGTAGGGTTACTTTGAAATGAAAGCCTGGATAGTAGGGTTGTAAGAAGGAACCTGGGTCGTAGGGTTACTTCGATATGAAAGCCTGGATAGTAGGGATGTGAGAAGGAACCTGGATAGTAGGGTTACCTTAATATGAAAGCCTGGATAGTAGGGCTGTGA